GGTGCGGCATCAGACCAAACGACGAAAATAACCCTGGAACAACCGCCTAATGAATTTACCTTCATCTAATAATGCGTATTTACCTAATCAAACTGGCTACCATGAAAATCTTTTCTTTGCAGTTGGGAAGTCACCCTCGAATCAAAGGTGGTTTTGTTCCCTGGGATTCGAGGTGAGGGTAGTAACGTCGCAATAGGAATCGAAGGGTAACATTGTAGAAAATGGCAGATTACTAGTTAAAGTTGGTCTGGTAAAAACTAGCTATCCTCTCTAATTGGCATTTACTTTATCCTCACTCATCAAATTGTTTGACAGTCTGCGGCATAAGAAGATGAATATAAAACGGACACCTAGATGTGACACCAAAATAGCCAAGCAAAAGTAGGGATAATTTTTTTGTTTGTCAATCAGGTTTTTTGTGATCGACAAGTGTTGGTTCAGTTTAGGGTCATTTTCACCACCATTTTCTCTTTACTATAAAAGAAAAAAGGGTTTTTGTAATAATTATATTGCTTGTAAAATCCCTAATGGTCAAATAAAAGCACAAATCTTAATAAATTAAACGCTCTTGTAATTTACATGAGGCATTAGAAGGAGCACTTCGATAAAGGACAGTTGTTTAAAGCCTCTGGATACATTCAACTTGAGAATCCACTCGAAATTGGCTGTTAACACAAATTCGGAACCAAAAGGCATAAATTCTACAAAATTTGTAGACTTTATGTAAAGTACAACACCGTTCAGTGGAAATCGAACGCAGCTTTCGAGTTTTAAAATGGTTGGGGAGTTACCGAGGTAAATGAAAAGGAAAATCATCATAAAAATACGACCTCAATGCTTGTTTATTTCGCAAAGCGGAACAAATGGAGGCAGTGTTCCATATGTCTGATGAACATATACAGTTGTTTGGGCATTACCGGTCACGTGAAACGGGGATTCCCCAGAAGATGGATGTACGAAAATATCAGGACACGCACAATCCATGAAGGAGGGATCGTTTCCAAATGCAAAATATATCATGAAAATCTCATCGAAAAAAATAATTGATAAGCCAAAAAACTATATACTTTTTTGAGCGTAATCAACAATTGCCATGAGTGATAATGTGGATCGTCCAGAGGCCTATATATCTGGGAACCAACGAAGACACAGTACTCCGGCAGAAGTGTGTTGTCGACGTACAGAAGGTCTGCGGGAGTGAGGGGGAGGCTAATAGCATAGACTAAGGACCATGGGGCTTAGCGGAATCACAGATGAGGAGCCTTAAGTGCCTGCGTAACCAAACGAAGAGTTGAACGAATAATCAGGCATTACCTAGGCCCTTCTCCTTTTGAGCGTAGTCCTCGGCGCCCTCCTTAATCAGCCTCTAGCGTCTACCATCATAACGTGGTCGGCAGTGTAAGAACAACACCCACCAACCAACCGCTCCTGCCATCCACTTTAGGTCCAACAGAGGAAATATCCTACGTCAAGGTCACTGATTTCTCTTGGCAATTCCACTAGAACTTGAGTTTCTTTCGCTTTAGGAACCTTATTGGGGAAGGCAGAAGGTGCTGGACATCTAGTACGCCCATCACCGTAGTTAAAACGCTACCCAAAACCAGAGCCATCTAATAAATGATTGGGTATAAATAGTTTCAGGGATTAGAAACCGCGTCTATTCCTCTTTGCCAATTTGTTCTCACTTCAGTGGTGCCCAGCCAGATATATGTGGGTTCTATCCACCTAGTGGAGAGGCGGAAAGGGTATCGTGAATTCACTTAATTAAGAGCTTCGCATGGGTACTGTAGACAGCTCTATAACTAATTTTTCAAAATGGATTAAGGTCGCAACTAGTATCGTTTCAACTGCTACCGAAGTAGTTGCCGAAGACAGACGTCATTTTCAGCCCTTCTGTTAGGGACCGTTACAGATACCCTCATCCGTACCATATGCTCTTCTTCCGTCACGTTAAGGTTTACTATTTAAAAATATTAATCAGGGTAGATGTCTTTTAGGATCGGATCGCCTACAGTTGCAGCATATACTGATCCATCACCATCAACCATGTGCCATCCGTTCTGCTTGTTTCAGGAAACGCGTTATCGCTCAGTTTCCAACACTGCCTCTTAAAGTCTCTTTTTTTGCGAGGAAAAAATAGAACAACGTTTAAAGGATGCTAGCCGTAATTTTTTTTGTGTGTGATAATTATATCAAGTAAGAGCTTAAGGTTGCAGATCAAGCAATGTCACTGTGTCGAGGCATGTACGCTCATAATTATGCCAGTGGTGGATTAATAGGTGAAAAGGTTGGTATTTGCTGAAAACTCTTAAGCATAGATAAAATTAGTAGAGACTTAGCATGACTAGAAGAGGTTGCATTTAAATCTAGTTATCACACTACTAAGTCTTCCGTTCTAGCGCCTACAGACAATGAAGAACGATCGGTCTCTACGGCCACTATCGTGTAAATGACAAAATCTTTTTAAAATGACTGAAAAGATGTATTGCAATGTTTATCGTACTGAATTAGTAATCCAGCTCTTCAGATTAATTTATGTGCTACACGGTGAATTAGCGCCACCTCTGGGTGTTGCGGTAAGGTCTAAATAGTTAGTATTTTAAACCCTGGACGAATATATTGGACCATGGATAAGAAAATGAATATATTTGTCTAATCGGGAAAGTGAACAAAGATTTTTGAGGTCATTTTTGCCATTTAGATAGATAGCGCACCTCTATTTGATTGTTAAAACATGTAGTAATCTTTACTATCCTCACAAAGGCAGTTTCACCTACCCATTCAAGTTGACGTCTCCATGATTAATAAGAGAATAAATGAAGGACAGGCAGGTTAGAGCTATATGACTAGGTAGATTCAACCTCTGTAGGAGGAACAGTGCTAATTTACCACATTCAGCTCTCATTTTCACAATTTTGTTTGACGGAGATGATAGAAATGGTAAATGATTGACTGAACCGGAGTGTTATTGTTGAATTTTAACCCTTTGATCGTGGAGCTACATTACATTTAAAGGGTTAAATATACGGGGTGACGGCATAGTGTTTAAATTTCCTTCGACGCTTCTGTAACTTTTATTGACTCATGACTAACTGCTAAAAATAAAGTCCGTGAAAGAGAATGTCCATAGGGGTAATGTTTTTAAGGTACCGTCTGCACGGCATTTTCCCAAAGAGAAGCAAACTTTAATCTTAAAGTTTAATGCTCTTCATCAAAGCGTTTTGCTTACATTGGTAGCTTGAGGCGTAGTTAAGGGTAAATTAGTTTTCCCAACCTATGCTGCCAACTCCTTATTTGAGCGCGGCATCACAAATAATGCAGCACACTTTTCTCCTCGCTTTGTGATAACTCTCTGCTTTAAAAATAGCAAAAGAGACACAGAATGGTCATGCTCTGAGCATAATCCTTTTTGGACAGCGGTAGAACGGACAAAAAGTTGATGATAACTGACATCAGATTCGAACAATGAAATATCTGGGCAGTTGCGGTTGAGTTTTTTCCTCTCACTTCTTGATAATGCGCGCATTACTTAAACTCCACCTGGTGGATGAATGTAAATACGTACAAAAGAGTCACGTGGCCACTACATCCGGGATCAGAGCAAATAAGTTTGAACATTTGGAAGAGTATTGCGCAGCTGTCAATAGGACTAGTTTACACATTTGTAGAAAGGTTCATTGTATTTAATTCAGTTGTTAGTAGCGTATGATTAACTAAAAATTACAAAATTAAAATATTCACTGTCTTCAGTTTATGTGAATATTCTTTTTAAGGCATCGAAATTTTCTAGTAGACCAGAAGTTAAGTTAATTTATTTTCAGCGACGTCTGTGGATCAAAATGGATATTTGAATGAACTCGTTGGGAATGGCAACTCTTCGATAGCTTTACACGAAGGCAGAATTGAGGGAACACTCTTTGCCCTACAAAAACATGATGGAGTCAGCTTCACAACGCATTCTAATGGTGAAATTTTGAAGGTTTTGGCTACCTGAAAACCTCTTTGATTTAGTAGTTTGATTATTCGAATCGCAAATATTTTAGCAGGCCTTTATACATGAGCTTGAAAATGTTTAAAATTCTATATCTTCTTCACCCTCTATGTGCTTTCAATTTGCGGAGGTATGAAGGTAGTAATGGGTTCTACTAAAGGACGTATGAAAATATTCTCACGGCAATTGGCCTTCCCACGTCTGTTCCATCTCCTTGTTCATTAAGTGCTTTGTGAGCTATTACTTTGCAGTTTATGTTTTTTTACTAATTTATAAGTGCATAAAGAAAATCCCTTTCTGCTACGTCAAAAGTTCAGACATCTACTGAAAAGGCTATGGAAGACCCACTGATTTGTGACTTGAGGTCCAACAACATGCTACAGAATGTATTTTCCTCAAAGAAATCACTTTGCCCGAGCACTACAGACGCTCAACTGAATGCCTCGCCTCTTAGGTAATTTGCGTTTTCCTCGGCCTTTGTAACACAGTGCAGGTGATCGCCTTTCACACTCCACTCCATTGTTTCCAACGTACCCTCGTCCAAGTGAAAAACTGGACTGCATATTCTGTGGATAAGGCATGGAACAAAAGTGCAGTTTCGGGAGGACGAAGTACTTCTTGCCTCTTTACAGAGTGCAACTTTAAACCCTTAAAAACTTTAGCTCTACAAAACTATCTACCATGAATTTTTACAAGCTTCCATTAGAAACGGTGCAACTCCACACGCGCAATTGCAATGTGGTAGCAAGTATCTGCAGAAAAAATAGTCTCGTTTCTTGACAAGATCAAATCATCTCAACGGAAGCAAAAAGCCTTAGCCAGAGGCAATAGTTTTTCTCTCACTAGTTATAATAACCAGTTTTGACTGAAGATTAGAGACGCAAAAGCCAGTCAGCTTGTGAAAAGGTGCTGTCAAAAATAGTTTTTTTCAAACCATTGTCATCAATGTAAGTAAAAGTTGAGAATTGGGTTGGGAAAGGGGGAGACAAATTTCAGCATCACAGTCTTGTCATGTTTTTCGGAAATCACCATCCAGAATACGCAAAAAAGCTCGTTTGAATGCAATATTGGCCATCGCGTAGCAGAAGGGATTAATGGGCGAATTCATGTAGCACATGTAGTAGGCAAAGTTATACAAATGCACATCGATGCACGAATATCCCTGACTCGGAATGTCACAGAATCCCTTGATTATTATAATAATGTGATAAGGCGTCCAGCAGATTACAAAGGCTCCCAGAATAAAACTGATCATACGTAGAGCTTTGCGTGCTCGTTTTCGCTTCCGGCGTTCCACTTTCCCCTTCTCTGCACTCTTCTGATTTCGGAACCAAACAAATCGGTCCCGAATGCTGCCTTGATTAGTGACGTTTTTTCGAGATGCAGAGTTATTATTGCTGTCATGGTTGTTTTTGCTGTCATTGTTACCTTGCGGCTTTGCCGAATCTGTTGAGCTGTTTTCGGTTTTTGCAAAGGAGGAGGATTCTTTGCGCTTGGGTTTTACAATTTTCAATCTTAATCGCAGGAACGAAGGCACCATCGCCTTACTTTTTTTCTCCTCCTTGTGCGGCTGAAGTGTCGGTCGTGTTTCGCTCGTATTTCCAGTGGTGTTTTCCGTGCGGTCAATGTTCTTCTGATTGTTTTTCAGAGTCTAAAAACGGTAAATTAGTGGTTACATATGTAACTGAGCTAAAAAAGGATCGAAGAAACGAGTAGCCAGAGCGGATTGTTATTAGAGTGGCAAATATTTGACATTGGCAGTAGTCTTATGCCTTTTATTTCGAATTGAGAGCTCCTCTGAGTGTCCGGGAGGAAAATATAGACCTGATACCCTTCTTTGTACAAAATACCATCTACAAACCACTTATAATTTTGCATTTATGTTGTAAAATATTCCCAAAGCCATAATTGTTTGCATGCAGACCATATAATTAGCCACACCCTCATATGAGTTTCCCTTTGAACTGGTGAGTCTTGGAATGCGTCTTGCCAAAATAAATCTCGGCCTCACAACCAGTGACGTATTATTCACGCTCATCCCAGAATCCCTCATTAACCTTTTGGCTTTAAATTTTCAAAATTTCTGTGATAAATTGTAGAAGTGCTGTTTTTTTGCTCTGTGATTCACGACTTGAAGGGTTAGCTCAATGCTAATGTGTCTAGAGGAGATGTTTCCAGTACATTTCAACACGTATGTTGACCGGTATCCGTCCCCAAAGCGAGGTGCCTCATGACAGAGCAGCAGAAAGTTTCGTTTCTTTAAGAAGGGGATGAATGCTGGCTGGGTAAACCGAAATGGCCTTTTTAATGCCTCTCTTCTAAAAAGTGTAATACACTGGGTGATTGTTTAACTCCATGTTTTGGTAAACAAGCCAATCAGGGGCTCTACCTTTTCAACTTTGTCTGGTGGGATTTTCTCTGGGCCATTCCAGTAGCTCAAAGCTCTACTCATACATTTCTCTAGGTTAATAAGTCTTCTTTCGTCTTCAGGCATAGATGATATTCAGGGTGTATCAGGTGACCCAAAAGTTACTTCGGTTTTCATTTCGGGCTGCTTCAAAGACTTAAAACTGGCAAGAGCTTGTGACGCATCATTGCTGATAGTTCCGTATTTATTTTAAAGCAGGGATATTATGAATTATCTTTGTTAACCTATATGCACACACCTACGGAATCGACAGTCGGGGGGAAAAAGCCAAGACAGAAACGGAGGTGGCTGCATTGTTTTTCACCTCTTGGGAAAATGGTGCATAAAGTAGAATTTTCAACCAATTTATGTCGAATTTGGATAGAAAGGATTGTAGCTAGCCAAGTTTAACTTTTCAATGTTAAAGTATCACTTGGCAATTTGGAGTTACCAGTTGCTCTTGTCAAATCCGACAGAAGGCACGCAATGATTTAGATGGAGTTCATTTTTTCTTGAGAGAAATTTGTAACGACAATTCATTGTATAAGTTAATTTTGTCTATTTTAACGGGGAAAGATTTAAACTCTGGTAATGTTGGACGCTGCTTCCGAAATATCATTCTACCTAGAATTGCTCTCCTACAATGGCCGAAGTTCATTCTTAGACTAATTAAGTATTTTAGCCTGGTACCTGAATTTCAAACCGGAGACGGAAATTACCCTATGATCGTTTTAGTACGAAACTCCTAGAGTTACACAGGCAATAATGGAACAGTATACATAGACTAATTGCCTGATTTGCAGTTTACGGCAGTCATCAAAGTGAGAGCTATCACCACCGACAGAAGGTTGGGCATGAGAGACATTATTCCTACTTATCTCAACATTTGGAGACATACTTAAAACGTCACCTATCAGTTGACACAGTGGTCGGTCATTTTAACTGGAGACGCCAACGATGACCTAGGAGAGAAGAGGGCAGTATAATACAAAAGACCCACCTCTTTGCAGTGGCCCTCAAATTTAGAAGGGGACTTCGATCCATTTTGCCGTGTCCAGGGATCAATGGACTCCGAGAGGACGGAAGAGCCTCTGCTGGGAGGCGCGTTGGGGGACAGTATGCAGCGGTAGTGATCGCAGAATTCGGGCATTTCAAGGCTTAACGAACTGGACCTCTGCTTACATCCCAAACCCAAATCCGAGGTGGTACGCATGTTGTTAGATTCGCCCAGACCGGAGTCAATGAATTCTGTCTGATGTTCAGTCTGCAGCTGAGGTAAGGAGCTATTCATGTTCACCTGTTTATTTAAGCCACTGTCATTCTTGTGAGACAGGCTACAAAATCAAGCAAGTTGAAACAATCATAATCGTGCATTTCTCCACTTTACGAAAATATAAATTGGATTTTATTATCTCGACAAAAAAGGATTTAAAAAGTTGTGAAGGTTGCCAATACAATGTGGGAAAGCCATGGGCACATTACACTTGTCTGTCAAACTCAGAAGCCAAAAAGCTTTTGTTTCCTATTCAATAAATTTTCATTAGCTTGGGGGATACTTATTTTTAGAAATTCTCACTACATTGTTGGGTAGTGGTATAAAAAGCTTGTTGAAAACCAATTCAGTCGGCCAATCAAGGAGTAGGGACCAGTAGTCCAGATACGTTGATGCACAGAAGGTGGAGGTGGAGAAGGTAAATAAGCTTTTTTAGTGTAATGCTTTAGTTATTTGTATAGCTCTTCGTTTAGGCTTGGCAGGCAATTGAAACACCGCAAATGAATTTCTGCTGAGTAGTATGGCCTCTTAGTTAAGCCAGTAATCCCCCCTCATCCCTTCTGTACGTCGGCAGTATATCCTCTGCCCTAGCATTATATCTTCTCTCGTCTTCAGGGAAGTCCTGAAGCACTACATTGGTAGCGGTGGAAAGCGAACTCGACCCCAAAGGATAATTACACTGATTCTTATTCCTGTATGCTAAACTTTAACGTGACGGAGGGAGGAAGAATCTGTGACAACCCCTAATAGAAAAGTTAGAAATGACGTCCAGCTTTAAGAAGTACCTTACTCCCGATTCCTGCAGGAATACATCAAACAAGTGAAGCGAAACAAGTTGTAAACGATATCGAAGGCTTTGTTATAGAGTTCTCTACGGTAGATGTACGAAGACGTAAATAAAGTGAACCCGCAGTGCAGCACTGAGGAGAGAACAAATAGTCAAGGAGAATCAGACCGGAAAGGATATTCTCACAAAACTATTTCGAGGCCCGTTTTGCATTAAATGACTCTGCTTTTAGGATATTGTTCTTACGACTAACGATGGGCATGCGAGATAGCATCTACATTCCCCCTTCCCCCAATAAGGTCCACAAACAGGATGGAACTCTAGATCCAGTGGAACTGCTAAGAGTGATCAGTGGCACTGCGGTCAAATATCCTCTCAGTTACAGGCCAATTCGATGCTAACACTGCTTGTTTTTTAAGTCCTTTTCCTTACAGCACCGATTGCATTGTGATGACCAGGGTAGTAGGATAGCCAAGGAGAGCGCCGAAGATGACTCTCAAAAGGAGTGAAGAGTTGTGTAATGCTCTAGTTGTTTGTTTAACTCTTCATTTTGGTCTCGCCAGCACTAAAAACTCCGCCATTGCACTCCCGCTTAGCGGTATGGCCTATAGACCATGGCAATAGCCCCCTACCCTACAGCCCCTCATTATGTCATCTTTCCCCTTCAGGAAGTGTCAGGGCTCTACATTGGTACTAACTTAACTCAGTACTGATTTTTTTCATCTAAATAGTTGATAGTATTGTGATTTCTAGTAAGCGAAACCCAAATATCTGTGCTACATTTTAAACAAACTTTGCTGGGTGACATAATCTGCAGTACTGGCAGTCAACGCTATTACGTCTCACTTCCCCTTTACAACTGTATTTACAGTAAAGTCACGTGCGATTCATGTTTGTACATATTCTGATGTGCGCCTCGTGTTCCATGAGGAGAAGGTTAAGTAAGTCTTTCCACCCGCCCTTTAAAGTATGCTACATATGCACAGTACTATAAAACCATTCAAGTCAAAAAAAACCTGTTGCTGATTTTCCTTCATCTTCTTTTTGAAGAAGCGTAAGTTAGTACCCTTTCCCAAAACTGCACTGGCTATATCAAAGCCAGCAGCATATCGTGGTTTCCTAGGGACATAAAAATAGTCCATGATCACGCAACTTCGTGATTCAATTAATCAAATTTCCTTCCTTTCAAACCAGACGTGAAGCTGAGGCATCAAACTTCCCCTTGTCAGTTGGGTTAATAACATTTGCAATTGTTTTTCATTTTTCAGACTTGCTTTAACTGGCCTGTCTAATTACGCATTTCCGAACAACTTAAGTGGGTTCTCCTGCACTCATTACCGACCTAACACAAATCCATTGTGCTTTGTTACCTGGAATAGTTGAACTAGTTGGACGTAAGACAAATAGCCTTAGCTGCGAAGTCTACATCAGCTTCCATTTAAACTGTACGAGGCAAGATCCCATGAATAAATAGACATTTTCTTGAGGAGCAGTTGTTCCCGCACTAAGCGGACCTCATTAACGGTGACTACAGTGACTGCTACAGGTTAGACCCTAGATAAAGACTTTCTTTTCCTCCTCTCCAGGGATTCTGCATTCATTTTATCTTATTTTTCTTCAAAATAAATGTATGGGAGATCGCGTTCTGTTTAGTGCGCAATTTGGCGCTGCATAAACACAACGTAGGTCCATGACTCATCTCGATCTTAACAAATACTGACATCTTGAACTATCTGGAACACACATGTATTCCTTAGCGATAAGAGGGCAAAGTTGCAGACATGATATCTCTCTTTAGTTCGATATAATAAATTAGGGCACCTGACAAATCGGATTTGGGTATCGTTTACTGAGAGCTGGATACTTAGGGTTCCGTGATTCACGGGAGCATATGTCATGGAAGGCGAGAGGCTGCAATTTTAGCGCTCTGACATTATCTGACTTTTACTTCGATGCCTAAAGATGTTAGGTTTGACTTTCGTGCAAAGTGGTCGTTCAAACTACTGGCTATCTGGATCCTCTAGTCAACCCATTAATAAACAAAAAGCATGGAAATCTAAAGACAAACCTACTCAGCATCCTTTGCGTCCAATTTTTGTGAAGCCAAATGATTTGGCTGCTCGGCGTCCTTCTCAGGCGGAGCTCTCGGTTTAGCACGGCTCTGCGGTTCGGACACCCTAACCGAGAGTCCGATCTTCGACATAGTTGTTCCTGCCATTAGGACGAGATCAGCTAATCCACGATGGGTTTCATGCACGTTATGATGTAGCTTTACGGCAGTCCTGTATATCCCCACATAGAGGGAGATCATAAAACAGAGGGGAATCCAAAAGTAGGAGATGGTAAGGATGGTATTAAAGGCCGTGTAATGGGTGAAGGGAACATTGCATTGATCGGAGGGTGGTCGCACCTCTCCAGTAATCTCGTACCAAGCGAACACCATGGGAATCCACAGGGCGGCTGGCAGCACCCAACTCAGAGCCAACATCACCCTGAGCTAATAAAGGAGAGTAAAAAGGGTAAATTAATTTTGCCACTGCTGTTTTGAAGTTGGCGCAGGAATGCACAAGTGGGTGACAAATTCAGCCTTTCAGTGTTAGTGTTTTAACTTGCAGTGTAAATGCCGAATCCTAGATAAGCCATCCTGGTTGAGCGAACCATTGTGAAGGGATAAAAGTTCTTTCACATGGACTGGTATTTCGCTCGTCAATCTATTTCGATAATAGCGGCAGTGTTGCCTCTGAATGCAAGTCCTGTAGGTCTTCTTGGCCTTTCAAAATCCTCTTAATGTTAGGGATTCTCACTATTTACATCCATATAAATAATCACCCCATTTTAAGGAGGAGCTACAGAAATTTGTCTCAGTGCCCTAAGGTCAACTGTCTTACCTCTGTTTCTTTCACAGACACACGTTGGTAATATACTGAATAATAGAAAATAAATAAACAAGTCAATTTTAGATCAAATCGTACATTTTCAAAACTTTCGGCTAAAAACGAGTGATATTCAAATCATTGCCTCTTTTTTTGGGATCAGTAAATCATTTCCGAGAGCCTGCGAATCCCCCTTTTATCTTTTCAGCAAAAAATTGTTTGGAAAAAATATGAAATTTAAGAACTATTAATTATTTTTACGTAATTTTCGGACTTAAACGACTGATTGCGACCTGAATAGGCTAATGGAGAGAAGTAGGAAGGGCAAGGTCCACCACAAGAACACAGCCGAGGGTGAAGCACACATCACAAGCATAAATTACCTACGACTAGCTTTGTAATACTCCAATTGTTTGTTTAACCCTTCGTTTCGGCTTCATGGGCATAAGGCTCCATGTTTGTAATTCCGCTGGGGGCGGCATTGTCTCCGGTCCACTTCAGTAGCCCCTTATCCATCCCTCGGTACGTCGGTAATACACAGTTCGTCCTGATATTACGTCTTCTTTCATCTTCAGGAATAAAAATGCCACAACCCTCTATCTAAGACCGGCCAATGTTCAGTGAAGAAATCGTGATGATGAGTCTTGAACAAAAATGTCAGTGTGCCAAATTGCCAGTCATAAGTAAGTCTACAAATACATCGCTTTTAATCAAGTTTACGGTGTCTGCTGGGTTTGAAAAACAGCATTTCTAGACGCGCAAGGGTGATTCACCCAACCCCAATGCCTAGAGGTGGAAGAGTAGGCTGCACTTTTGAATGCAACATACTCAATATTTTCATCAACAGAGACCAGTAGACAGACAAGAGAAAGACTCTACACTCTGTTACATGGTTGATATGAGGTAAACGAGCAAGGTTATTGCCCAAGTATTTAAACTTTAGATTTAAGTATTAAAAACGAAGGTGTAAGGAGAATTTAAAGATTAGGAAGTGTAATTTGCTCTCCTTTGATGTTCTTTTTAAGTTCCAGGCGAAAATATGGCATAATAACAGGAATGTCAATGTTTATATGATTTGAGGGAAAATCCAGTTTGGCAAAAGCGGAACACAAAATGCTCGCAAGTTTTGAACAATTTGGCTCTTTTTCAACCATTTATTTATTTCCCATTAATGTCAGTGAACACATCATATAACCAGTGGGCTTAGGCCGGTGCTGATGGTCCAGAAATAGTGTCAAAATATTTCGGCGAAAATATTTTAATAAAATGATTACCAACAAGGGCTTTGAAAAAGGGCGAAAAAGAATGGGTTCCTGATTCTTTTTTAAATTGTAAAATATACGCTTTCAACTGGCACTGTACCACTCAACCAGCCTGTTGAGGGAGTGGGTCGGTGCCTGTCCAGGTATCCACATAGACACTAAAACGTCAACTTGGATTTCGGTTTGCTGAATGCATAGAGTAGGGAAGTACGGCTAGGTGTGATTACAAAAGAAATAGTGTTAGCAAAGTTAAAAGTCACCTTACATATCCCAAACTGGGAGACTAAGTGTCTCCATAAAGCTTGCCACATCAATAGTCCCTATCACCGTCACAAGAGAGCGGTCCAAAATGTTTCTGTGGGCCCTATGAGGGTATTACTCCCCAAAGGAAATCACGGCTCTTGGAAATACTGCTGTTTACCAAGGTAGGAGGGAACCGGCAGTGTGGGTGTGTGCACGTTTGGGTGTGGGCGACTGTTGTTGTAAATGCAAGCCAATTTAGAATCAAATGTCAACACAAACATTTTAAATAAATTTAGCAGAGAGTAGCTACCTCCTGCTCAGTTAAAAATATGACACTGAGGCATTCGTTTTACTAGCTACCTTGTTTTCTGACCTCCAGTTGCGATATTTGACCGGGAACTTGACGGACATAAAACGGTCCAGTGTGATCAAGAAGACCGTCACCTGAGACACAAGACAAGCAGTGAAGTCGATGGCAAGCCAGCAGTCACATATGAAATTCCCCAATGGCCAGTAGCCCAGAAGGAGATAGAGGATAAGGAGGTTGAGAGAAATCAATCCAATGGTCAGGTCGGTGACGGCAAGGGAGATGATGAAGTAGTTATTAGAGGCGCGCACTCCCCGATCCACACAGAAGGCGACTAGCACCAGCAAATTTCCAAGAATGCAACATAGCGACACCAGGCTCGACAATATGCCCAGCACCACCTTTACTGGAAGCTTGTAAGTACTGTAGTCGTCCATCTACAATGCAAAATTTTCAAATGGAAACTGAGAATTATACGAAAAAACTTATCTTTTTGCTGACTTTGAACACAAAATTGAGATTAATGTTCACACCGGCATTTATAGTCGAGATAAGCAGATGAAATTTTTTGCTTCAATGCTTCCTATAAAACTATTATGCACAGATCTCAAATGCACAAATTGATTACCCATTTGAGATCATTCGGAAACTTTGGGGTGGAGGTAATTTCTACTCTGCAAAGGGGTGATTCGTCTATTCAAAGGAATCACTTCCTTTAATTATTATATCAAATTAAAGAATGACACCAAGGATCAAGTCTTTGACTTTAAAGATCTTAAAATTAGATGAATATAACTGACTTTCATTCATAGAACAATGGGATTAGTTAAAGTATTTTGACAAGGGTGAATGATCAAAAGACGAGTAAGTTGGACGACCAAGTGGTAAAGCTACTCACGAGATCCGTAAAAAGGCAGCAAAACTTCAAGGTGTTGTTAGGCTTTCAGACATTACCAAGATCCGAAACTGTCGGTACCTAATCAAAAGATCAGATTTGAAATTGTTGCTCGTTGATTGTAGCATCATTTATTTCTACCTAACAGGATGCTCCTATTGGCTCAGCGGGAATCGGCCAATCAGTTTTGGGGAAGACGCGTGCCAACCACAAATTTGGGGCAAAAATGGGATGTGGGCACACACACACACGACCCACCATATGAATTTGGATGATGGAATTGTGCCCCTTAATTTAAATTTATGTCACTACCAGTCAGAGGTGTAAACTACGTGCTTAGGAGGTCTAAGGAAGTCCAAGTCGGATGGTATCAATTGCAGCACCGCACCATCTAGGAATTCACAACTAAGCTCAACACCAACGTCCTAATTTTGATATATTTTCGTGAAAAAAACGATTGTTGACATTTAGATAACCGAATGTGAAATTCATCCGTAATCACTGAACCCACACCCCAAGTTTATTATTACCCCGATTTTTGTACATATCGACCAAAATAGACGATAAATTTTTATGTGCTGGTGAGAAAAATCTCGCCTTTTCATCGGTGTGTGGCTTTGGCATTGTAAGCAAAATTTATTTTGCAGTAAAATTAAGAGGAGTTGCAGGCTTAAAACAGCGTGATTAACAGTACAAAGGGCAGAGGAGGATAACCGCCATTTCCCAGCTAAAGTGAATTATGCAACAACCTCGCTTATTTGGAAAAAATTGCTTTCAAACCTTCCAAGATCTATACATAATCAAAGAAAACAACATTGTTTTGGTCAACCAGCCACTGAACCGAAAAATTTTATTTAGGCATTGTTTAGGTATGGGTCTACCTTTTCGTCTCGCTTGAGCATGCAAGCAGTCTAACTCCATGTTGCTTCTAGTCCCTTCAAAACGTTAGGGGAAATTATGACAAAGCCTCTTATTACTCGCTGATTCTTGTTGTAATAGGAAGTTTGCTGAGTCCGGAGGAAAAGTCCCTCCAAGCTTTAATCTGTCAGCCTGGATTTCTGTAGAAGAGGAATTCAGCAAGCAAAGTCACTTTGCAGTACAAAGAGGGAAAAACATAAAGGAGGGGCATTAATTCCCCTAGTTATCGCTAAATTACACCCCAGATTGTAGTTCCCTGGAGAAATAGCCAAACCCGAAGAGTACATATTCAGTGATGTGGTCATTAGGGAAGATGATGACGAGAAGGCGATACAGTTTTACTGTTCCTTAATTTCCTTACTAAAAACCTTTCAAACCGAAAGGATAGTTAACGAGACTTTAAATAAATTTCAATTTTTATTCCCATTAACACTACCCAGTTAAATTACCTATCTTCATCGCCCAAACAGATGAAAGGAAAATGAAGACTTCTCAGCGATTTCGACTTCTGTGTAATATTTCTTTAAAGGGGACAAAATAATTTTCATGATGAATCATTTAGTACCGTCCCGTAATGAATGGTTGGGAAAGTAAGTCTTCTTTTTATGGGCTCCTCGACAAATCAGGACATAGAAATCCCGGAAACCTATTCACGTTGAATTAGGACAGCCTTGTACAATCCCGTTGTTTATTTGAGTCACGAAGCATAGATCCTCTTTATCGCTGTCTCGGATACTTTCTTCTCATTCTTGGACATTACACCATTAAATGTCAGTTAGGTCTCCTGCGGTCAATGCAGTTCCAAGGATGCATAGGCAGAGGGGAAGGCCGAGGGTAGACACTCGTCAACCTTGTTGTTTAGCACTTGGGGGAGGCATGCTGCTTGGTAGCAAGATTCAACCCTTGGAAAGGACTTTGTAAACTTGATTTTGATGATAATTTTTTAGATGTTGATGCATTGATTTCTGGAAGACACTCTATCCTTATCAATCGCTAGCACCACGCTCATTCGAGGCTAATTTGTGAACAACAAATTTTTCCTTGTACTTTAACGTCGTGGGTGATGATGAGACAGCTGGTTTCCGTTTGAATCAACTAGGAGGGGAAAGTGGTGGGGATGGCGGTGGTGGTAGTCACTGGACGAATGGATTGCATTAATGTACCATTCATCAACAGATAGCGGACAATAAGACTCAAAGGTGACCATCGTGTCTCTCACGTCCTCACCTCACCTCACCTCACCTCACCTCACCTCTTATGGTGTCACTGAGCTAGTGGATCGTTTGGGTACTGATGAACTGACTTGTGATAAGGAATATAAAGTTCATTAATGAAGCAAATTAATTATCAGTCAGTTCCAGATGATCCGCTCACTACCTACTTCATTCTGTATTTCTAAGGCATGCGTCACTTCAGTCTCATCACATTACACTATGCTGTCTGCCTCCTAGGTGAATGCAAAGGTCAAATAAACTTCTATCGCGGTTCATCTCACACCCATATACCCACCCACACGATGTAATTGAAAGTGGAAAAGAAGGTCTCCACCCCCTTCACTTCTTTATCATCTCCACTGCCATTAAAAAAAATCAGTACTACTTGACTCATCAGTATGAAGATAGTTTCCTCCTTATTTTTGTAATATATGACTACAACGCAATGCATTCCGTCACGAAAGGTATTTGGGAGGTGTTTTGCACTTCAGTAGTAGGAGAATGATGCAGATAATGTCTACCTCTCATACTCCTGCTCTGCCTCCGTATTGCCCAGATGAATTGCCTTAAAGTGGTGATTATCACCTCATCTTATTTGACAATCCCTTAACCACATACATGCCTACGCTATAGGCAGTGAGAAGGATATGGTTGCCTGAATTGGGCGTGTTTGGCCCTACCAACAAGTGTCATTTGGGGTTTTACGTCTCATCGCAAAAGGGTTATGAAATGAAATGGTCACCATTTTAACAAAAAATGTATTCACAAGCTTTCTGTTGTTATTTAAAAATTGCTCAAGCCTATTTGTTTACCACATTCAAGCAAGAACCTTCCCATGCAATTATTTCGCCTTTGTGCTGAATAACAAGCGCCGAGTTTCGACTGTGCCCATTTCTCTGTTTTGTCTTAAAAGTGCCTTTGAGCCTGCAAACCGTAAATTTATAATTGGCAATCATAAAGTGCATGTCATACAACACCACTGATGAAATAAGCTGCTTTAAAATTAGTCACACTATCGCCTTGCCTATCCCGCAGTTGCTTACGCTTCACAAGTGAGCTCTTCAGCCTTCAGATCCGACCATCCAGGGTTATGGCCTCTTGGATCTTCTCTATGGCGACAATAGATATTCAGATATGATCGGAAGCACTAAGGCGGCGCTAAGCAGGCGTTTCCGTTCATTGATGACACGAGGACTACTTGGTTGTGTTCCATGATTAGCTGTATCAGGCAGTCTAGCTAGCTGTTTGTGCTTTTCGATGTCCTTTAAGATCATGCCTTCAAGGTAGCCATAGAGTTGACACAGCAGCTCTTAGGGTGTGAGAAAAAAAAGCTGACCAATAGAGACCAGACATTTTGTTGTTCTACTAATTTAATAACCCTTGTACCACTGAACCGAGGAATTGAAGTCCCTCTCAAAAACTAAGAAATGGAATCATCCTCAGACCAAGAGCGCCGCACGTGTATGCCAGTTTAACTTCAATCAATTTGTCTGCAGTACAGCATTTAGTGTAATCAGCTACCACAAAGTGAGGCTGAACAGGCAGCATATTTGTGAAGAGAATTGGAGCGTCACTTATATGTTACCATAGTAGTAGGGAATATATCGTATGTAGTGTAAATTTGTCTTCTTTTGCATGAATGATTGTATACGAGGGGTACTCACAAAAACAGTCTATCATAGTGTCCGATAGTACTGCAGCCCCATGAGACTTTTCTGAGGAGAAAAAAGGCGTAATGCTTGGGTAGAATGTGCATTGCAGACGTATAGAAGGACAGGGGCGGGAGCTACTGGCATGGTTTGGAGGCTATTTTGCCTAGTAGAAATACAAAGGCGGAGCCTTAAGTGCCCGTGAGATCAAGACAAAGGGTTAAACAAATTATCAAAACACTACATAGCCGCCCTCTGCTCTTAAGTGTTGTCGCTGGCGCTACCCATGTTTAACCTCCCGCGTCGACCATCACGACGTAGGCGGTGCTGCAATTAAAAACACCTCCGAATTAACTGCACCAATTATCGGGCCTGCATGTAGCCGAGAAGATACTTGACCACAACGTCACTGATCCCTCTTGCTAATTTTACTGGTAATTCTATCTATTTTGGTTCTATCCAGCTGGTATAGAGGTGGAAGAGGTATCACCCGTTCACTTCATTGACATCTTCACACAGGGGACGAAGACAGCTCCCTAGCAAACTCTTCCAGATGGCTCACGGACACGGCTTGTATCGCTTTACTTGATAATATCATTCCTGAAGAACGCGGGATTCGAGTAGTTGTCGAAGGTAGACGTCATTTTCGACCCCATTTCCCTGTCACGTAAAGGTATAGCATTTAGTAATGAAAATTAAGGTAGTTATCCTTTAGGATTAAATTCACTCTACTACCACTAATGTAGCTCCCTGAGGCTTACCTAAAGACGAAAGACGATATAATACTAGGGATGTACATGTATTGCCGAAGTTGAGAAGAGCTACGAGCTACTGGGACAGCCCAGAGGCCATGTCGCTTGGAGAGAGTACAGAGGCGGAATCTCAAGTGCCCATGAAATCAAAATAAAGAGCTAAACAAATAATCAAAGTATTACAAATGGACATGCCAATCAATTACTAACAAGATGTAGTTGAATTTTGTGATATCAAGTGTTCACTACACTCGTGGTGAAGGAACTTTGCCTCAACTGCAATCTATTACACCTTCGAGGTGGACATCTTAGCAAATTAAGACTCACAAGCAAGGCTTATCTCATTTGCCAAAGTGATCGCACTACCTGGAATCTGAGAATTATTAACACTCTTCGGTAGATAAGCCTTTAAAAAGTTGAAAAGTGCATTAAACATTAAAACATAACCCAGTCAGTATAACTTATTCTTTCTGAAGGGGATAATGAGTACTCCCATTCCAAAGTCAAATATTATTAATATTCATGTCAGATGCAGAACGAAACTGTCCCGTTACAGCATCAATTTGCCATCACATTCACAATTAATAACGCTGCA